AATGGAAACACCCAATGACTGACTTTATAGATATTTTCTTACAATTCGTTACTGAAAAGATTGTATGGTGGTTTTGAAAATTCTCGCAAAGCTACACAAGGGCTACCTGCGCATAGGCCTAAATTTGAAATGATAGACTAAAAGAAAGGCAGATACTTAACGGCCCCCACCGCCAACTCTCGGGTTGCTTTTGTCTGACCGATTTGGCTTTCATTATTATAAAGATCCCACGACCCCAAAGTGCAAAACACGATTTAGCAGCAACAGGTCGTGAACCGTGAAATCTCGGATTCACATTCCCACGTACTAGCAATTAGGCTTTGCTCGGCCCTTATTCGAATGAACCGGTTTGGAATATACCTTATTTCATATAGCATGATAAAGAGTAGTCAACTGTGTTCATGGTATGTTTATTCCCCTGCTTCGTAAAAGTAGGTAATCCAAATAGAAATTTTTAATTTTAATAAGATGCGTGACTATTTTGAACATACATTCAATAGGCACGTGAGGGATCTCGTTTCATATTTGGGTCATATTTGGTTCTGCCTAAAAATCGATTACTGGTTTAAATGACCGAATGTGAAAAAAAAAATAAGAAAAAGTTCGACAGCAGTCACGGGAATATGCCTTTGAAGAAATATCGCGATTTTCTTATCGTGTTGATGTTTTGGTTTTCTACCACATGAAGCAATGCAAGATATTTTTAAAGATACGATAAAACTGAACGTTAGAGTTTGCTTATAGTGTTTACAAGAAAAAATCAAAGTAAATGTAATGATGAGAAGTGCGAGAGCTACTTTATTCTTTCTTTTGGTGATACCGTCATGTAAAACCAGAAGAAACCAGTTTTGGATATAATAGAAAACTACTTTACTCAGTAACCATAGCAACTAAGTCTGAGCTATGTAGCCATGGTGTTTCTTGACGTCATCTATTTAACAACACCGAGCCATACTTTTCATTTAAAGAAACTTAACTTGTGTGCGAACTAATTATTTTGAAAGGAACACAAGCACTTAGAACTTGAAATAAAGTCATGTAATTATTATTAGTATCATATAAGACGCTTATATTATATAGTATGCCATATTACACATACTGCACTTAAATTCATCCCTTTATTTACAGTAGTGTAAAATAATACCTTAATAAAAGTTAACAAGTTATACTTAAATGAATGTGATTATATTTTATAGAATCTAAAACAATACATTTTGCGAAATGATACTTTAATAATATTACAAGCATGTCA